TTAGGGATATCCTAGAGAACACGAGCCTAAATTTTCTTCCATCCAGTAGAAAAACCATTGCCAACAAAATTTTGCTTGCAGTAAACTCTAGAGACTATATCCCAGATGTACCAGACAACCAATCACCATACCCTCCAAGGAAACCTGCAATGCCCACAAACCCTAATAAAGGGGCAGCCCTTGGTGGCCTCCTCCCTAGCCTTAGATGATAGGAGCGGGGGTTACATAGTAGTATATCAAGTTAATATAGGTCTTGATGCAATGTCTTCTGCATACGAAAGGTGAATTTTGCACACAGAAACATAACTTTAACAATTAGCAAAGGAAACTGGGCACAGTGATATGTGCCTATAGCCCCAGCTACTCCGGAGACCAAGATGGGAGGATTGCTTAAGCCCAGGAGTTCAAAGACCAGCCTGGGAAACATAGCAAGTCACCCCGATCTCTAGACCTAGACCTAATGCAAAAAGGCAAGCTGGGTCAATAAAGATTCCTTATCTCAGATAATGAACTAAGAAATATTCAGATAAAAGTCAAAGACAGGACCTGAACCTAAAAAGTCCTAAACTAGAGAAAAAAAGCTAAAGGAGCCTCAAATATGCCAAAGTTACCAAGCTGTGAAGAGAAGAGAATAGCAGTTAGTAGTAGTAGAAAAATAAGTAAATAAGAGTGAAGCACACATGTAGAGATAGGGTGACTAACTATCCCAATTTGCCTGGAACTGTCCCAGTTTTAGCACTGAAAGTCCTACGACCTGGGAAACCCCTCAATACTAAGCAAATGGGGAAGATTGGTCACCCTGTAAGAGCAACTGAATCAATCAAGTCAATGACTAAATACTAGTGTGAAGATCAAAGATCCCATGCTCTTAGGGCCATTGGAGCTACCTAAGATCCAGAAAAACTCTCCAGTTGCAGACTTTTTAAGGGAGTTTGGACTTGTATGAGATTCTGATTCTTCCTTTATACACCCATATGCATTACTGACATAAACTTTCTCCTTGCTTGGGTTAGTTGGAGTTCTTGCAGCCAAAAGAGCCTAAATGAAACAGTAATTTTTCCAATGGTAGATTACAGAGAACTTAGCAAGTTATTTCATATTACTTAAACCTTTACTACAGAAAGTAATTATTTCCAGGGTTTTAAAAAGCTGGAAAACTGGCACTGTGAAGAGAGAAGAAAAATAAAAACAAGAGGCCGGGCGCGGTGGCTCACGCCTGTAATCCTAGCTCTCTGGGAGGCCGAGGCAGGCGATTGTTTGAGCTCAGGAGTTCAAAACCAGCCTGAGCAAGAGCGAGACCCCGTCTCTACTAAAAATAGAAAGAAATTAATTGGACAACTAAAAATATATAGAAAAAACTAGCCGGGCATGGTGGCGCATACCTATAGTCCCAGCTACTCGGGAGGCTGAGGCAGGAGGATCGCTTGAGCCCAGGAGTTTGAGGTTGCTGCGAGCTAGGATGACGCCACAGCACTCTAGCCCAGGCAACACAGTGAGACTCTGTCTCAAAAAATAAAAAAATAAAAACAAGATAGTAAAAGACTGAGTGAGAAATAAATAAAAAGCTGGAATAGACCAGGCTAGAAAAGAAATAGTGGCAAACTGAATAATATACAGATAAATAAAAAGTTGTTATATGGTGAGAATGAAACAATGATTAGTTGTTCTTCAATTCCCACCAAAATGCAGTTGCCAAGGGACACCACAGAAACTCAATGCCTAAAGATAAATATCAGTCCTAACAAAAGAAGGGGCTTGGTTCTATTTTATGTGACTACTTGAATTTCTTTGAGTTCTACAATTCTTGTTCCTAACTTTAGGTGCCTAATCTTATCTGATCTTCAAACAAGTTGGCAATACCAAATATTAAGTAGAGAGTGGTGTGGGGTGGAGGTGGCAGAATAAGAGAGACCCCAGCCAAATCACATTTTAAACACAGCATTGTGTTCACTTTGGGGGTTCATATTTGACAAGAATATTAAAAAGCAAAATAGCATGTAGAAGAAATCAACCAAGGCATTAGCAATATAGAAACCCCAAAAAAGAAAAATGATAATATAATTAAATACTTGAAGTGCTCTTAAATAGTATTTTATTCTTTATTACTTGAGGGCAAAACTAGGACCAACGGATAAAAGTTATAGGGAGGAAGATTTTGACTCAATATATTGAAAAAAATCATAATAATTTTAAGTCTTCTAAAAATGAAAGGAACAGTCTGAGAAAATAGTGAGTTGCCCAATAGTGGAAGTGTTCTAACAAAAATTAGATGGCCATATATATATTAGAGATCATATAAAAAGAATTCCTTAGAAAGAAAAATGTTGGACCAGATAATATGCTTTCTTGACATTTAAAGTTTAGATAAATTCAAACATATGGAAAACTTCCAACATATACAGAAGTAGACAGAACACTATAATGAACCTCCCTCCGTGGACATATCACCCAGCTTTAACTTTATTAACTCCTAGGTTGCTTTATCCATAACTCCCTACTTTACCTCACCCTTATATTATTTTGAAGTATATTCCAGACATCAAATCATTTCATCCTCAAATATTTCAACATGTCAGATGAACTTTTAAAACTCTTCCAACTATAAGATTCTATGTTTCTATAGCTCTGACACAAGAAAACTGAAAAGTCTACTAAGATTCAGAAAGTGAATTATGTTCACTATTTGTTTTACCAGTTCTAAACAAACTAAGGGAGTTAGTGCTTGAACACTATCTCATTGTCTAGTTTCCTAGTGACATCTAGTGGATAAAAACTGTAACAGAAGTGGTCACGATTAAAAGACATCTATTGTCATGGAGTTGTATGGGCAAAAGTTTACAGGTCCAAAATAGTTGTTTAAGTCACTAAACATTTTTCCTTTCAAGGAAAAAAAAAAACAAAAACAGGGGATAAAAACTTTTTAAAATTTCATAACATTTAAGGCTTTTCATAACCTGATTTCCTCCTATGTAACCTCATTTTCTTTCTCTCCTTTATAAACTATCAATTAGAAATGCACCGTCACTTATTACCAAATACACCAAGCTCACTGTAGATTCTAGGCTTTTAACTGTCCCTCCCATCTCAAAAATTCTCTTGAATTTACCAATTAAATTCAGTTTACCAATTCAAATTGTATAGTTCAATTCTATCTCTTCCATGAATTCTTCCCCTATTATTTCCTTGGAATTTAAAAATTTCTGAATTCCCATAGCACAACTTTATTGCAAAATACAGCAAATATCTCTACACTATTATCTAATAATTGGGGGTCTGTTACTTTCATATCTCTACCTGGAAATATAACCCATGGAAGGTCCTATTTAACATTTCATTATTATGCCTACAATGCTTAAAAACCACAACATATTCAAATACTGCTGACTGAGGGGTTCTATTCATACATTATACAGATGAAGTAAAATCCTCACTACAGTGAGCTTTATAGCTACAAGCATGATGAAAGCAAGGACTGTGTCTGTCTTAGTCAATGTTTTATCCTTCGTACTTTATGCAGTGCCTGGCTCAATAAACATTTGCTAAACAAATTGTTTATAATCTTAAAAAAGAAGACAAAAATGATTACTACAAACTGAAAAACAACAAGAAAATGTCAACGGTTTTGGACAAAGAAAAAAAATTAAAGTATTTCAGCATGATAATACATGCTTCTAAAGCTTTCCCTATTTGATACTACCAACACAATCAGATTATGACCAAGCATGTTAACTTAAGCAGTAATATAGCTTTTATTTTCACATACTCTTCATTTTCCACATTTTTTCTCTTGCTCTCACCATCCCTAGGAATATGTTTTCAAATAAGATGAAGAACAACTACCAAAGCAGAGTTGAAAAATATTTCAGTTGGACAAAAGCTCAGGTGCACTAAGGAGAAAGGAAGTGGCTGGATGGAATCAAGTGATTTGAGTAGATGAGGCTACTCGTAGTGGTCAATTTTTAAATATTAGATATATAAAATCAGTCACTAAATAAAATTTACATTTTTTCCAAACTGTGGATATGTTAAGCATTAACTATATTATTACTTAACCTATAACTATAGATCCATTAATTGTGATAATCGGATTAAAAAAACAGAAATAAGAAAAAAGAGATAAAGATGAATAATAAATGAAATGCCCCTTATATGTACCTCTTTGCAACAAAGGTAAGAATTACTTCTGTCTATGCTACAAACTGACAGTAACTTACCCAGGACATAATTTCAGTATAATTCGGAAATTCTACGTTCTTTGATCTAAACCTCTTTCTAATGTTTTGAATTCTTATACTTTGGCATCTGTCTTTAGATAATTCTAAAGTGTCCTAACAAAAATAATGTAAATCTAAAATGTATATATAAAAATAAGAATTATCCCACTATTCTCCACTTTACAAGGGTAAAAAAAGAGGTGATTAAAAAACAAAGTTGAATATGATAACCCTTAAACTTAATCCCTACTTCATATCCTAGATATATCATATTTTTAGTTTAGGGGATGGGGAAAAAAAATTACAGACATAAGATAAAATGAATATGCACTCACAGCCTGGGCTTGTTGTTGGAATAATTCATTCTGATTCTCTCCATCTTCTATTTCATCCTCAAGCATTTGGGAGGCGGGTATCCTAGAACTTCCAATAGCAGCATTCAAATTGTGTGGAAAAACACTTGTCCTTTTAGGAGTCAAGTATGCTGGATCTGAAGATTGCATGGCTATAGAGCCTTCTTTTTCTGCCTACACAAAGGAAGAACGGGGGATAGTGAGATTCACTCCAATTCAGGCAATCAAATAACACCTCTAAGCAGCCCACAAGATTTTAAAATGGGGAAAATGACAGGGGGAGAGTTTAGCTGGCAAAGGAACTAACATTTACCAGGTACCTGGTAATAATAATTTAGTTTACCTGTGCTAATTATCTCACCTAATTCTCATACAATCCTATGAGAGAAGTATTATATCCCTATTTTATAGATGGAGAAACTATAATCAGTGAAGTTAAGTAATTAGCCCAAGGTCACAGAGCTAATAAGTGGCAAAGCCAGAATTCAAACTCAAGTCCGAAACCAAAATTCTGACATTGTTTCTAACTATTTGGTGAAAGCAAAAAAGTGAGTCAAAACAACACAGCAATGAAACATGGTTTCTATACATACTAGTGGCCTCACTAGTTAATCAGATTATATAAAGCATGTAATCAAAAAAAAGTAACTCTGTTACTGCCTAATTAGCTTATCTCCTAACATACCTATTTTCTTGTTTCTTTTTTTTGGGGGGGGTGGGCTTTGTCCTTTTATAAACCCTTGTGTCGAGGGCTACACACATACTTTCTCAGGCTCACTTTTGAACTTACTGCTTCATAAAACTTCTGAAGCTGTTGCTTTTTCCTCAGCCTAATTTGTTGATTTACTCGGCTTTTGACTTGTCTCTGAAAACGTTTCAAAGCTTCTTGTTTTTTTCTTAGCTGTTCCTTTAGTTCTTCTTCAATAATACATGCTGAAGTCTTTAAAGATGAAAGACAGAAAATGAACTTAAATGTCAGCAGTTTTGTCCATTAGGGCTGCTACAAACACACAACAGTCAGGATACAATCCTGAAAAAAATGTCAGTTCTATCATCCAAAATTCCCAGGAGTTCAGACATAGCTAGAGTACCAACACCTTAAACCAAATCACAAACTAAAAATTGGAATTTGTGAGTACTCAAATCAAATCTTAATTTTTTATTGAACTGGAACTAAAGGTGTCTTCATTAATTCTTAATGAACTAATGCAAACCAATCTTATGTTACACATTTCCTAAAATGAGTAAACAGTCCAGCCACACCAGATTGCTCACCACTCACCAAATATATCCCATTGTAAAATGACTTTATATTCAGAATTATGCTCCATTTTTAACCTTGCATGCCCTTCCTCTCATCTTCACCTAGTAAAGACCTACTCAGTCTTCAAGACTATCTAATACCTACCCCGGGTACCTTCCCCAACACTGTCTTCCTCTGAGCTCTCTTATGCTATGGCAACTCTCATTTTACTGTTATCCGAGTACAGTACTTTCTGACTCCCCTGCTAGAGTCAGGGGAGGGCAGGAAATGTATCTAAATCTCCTTTGTTTCCCATACAGCATACCATACAGAGCGTTGACTATAAAGGTACTCAATAAATATTTATATAATTGTTCAATTCCGAAACATATTCTAAACAATCTGGAACATTTTATCCCATCTGAGTCCTTGATCTGCATTCACCTCTAAGTGCTTTGAATAACAATCACAGTCAGCATAATAACAGTAGTTAACATTATTAAGAACAAGCACTTTACCTGATACCACTCTATCCTCAAAACTACCTTTGGTAGAAGGTACTCTTACCCCTTATGTTATAGATGAGGAACCTGGAGTTCAGAAAGATTAAGCAATCTTTAGTAGTAGACCAAGTTCCTATAGCAGACTAGTAGCAGAGCTAGAAGACTCTGACTCTAACACTTACGTTCTATACTGTATTGCTTTTCTCTTGACTATGTCTTTCTTTCATTAGCAGTTTTTAAAATAAATAAAATCATCATCATACCTCCTATCTATTCCTTCTTCTAACACAGTGATTCCAATTTCTAATTCTGAAGGGTACTTCAGATTATTTTACAGGCTGTCATTAAATTCTCAAAATCAAATAATTCAAATTTAAATTTAAGTTAAATTTTCCATGAAATCTATCCCATAAACT